AGCAGGGGGAGGTCGTGAGCGGGTTACCAAAATGCAGCCGTGCTCCTGGCGTGGAGAAGAGCGCGAGCTGAGGCTGCAGTGCCAAAGTTTTTCAAACATCCTCAATGCCTGGGGAATGGCACTTGCTGCCATCCCAACTCCTCTCCACTCGGCTCCCAGAGTGACCAGGCCACCAAAACGAGCCAGTCTCACACCTCCTTGCAGCCTCCCCAATGGCTGGAAGTGCTGAGGAGGGCAACGGGGGCGGCGATGGCCCCTAAAGCATCCCTGCCTCCCCAGCCACTGCCTGCTCCAGCGCAGCCCAGGCTTGTCCTCATTTCAGGCTGGGCGAGAGGCAGCCCAGCCCCAGAGGTAGCGAGATGATGCCAAACCTCCTAATGGAGCTTGACAGCAGTGGGATTAAAAGCACAAGTGAGATCGCAACCCCTCTGCAATCAGCTTCTGCCTTGGAAGAGCTGAACCAGAAAAGAAACCTCCTGGCAGCGGGGAGGCGTGGGAACACACACACAGGGCGAGGGCGGCAGGGGCTGGGGGGAAACCTCGCCCGTCCCAAGCCCTCCTCGCTTGCCCTGCCAACCCATTGCCTATAGGAAGGAGTCAATCTCCCCGCCCCCAGCAGCACCAGTGAAGGGTTCCACCAGCAATAGCCCCAATTCCAACCGGTCCCCGTGGGTTGGTACTTCTACTGCCCTAAACTTTGCATGCGTAGCAGCCCACGCCATGCGCTGCTCACCCCTTCGTGCTTGTGAGCTCAAGGGATCGCACAAGGACCCCTCCTTCTCCCTCTCCTTCAGACGCTGCGCTTGGAGCGGTGCCATTGATGCTGGAAACAACATCCAAGCAGGCAGGTCCGAGCTGGAGATGGGAAGAGTCACTCGGATGCAAGTGGGTGCTCAGCCCCTATTTCTGCAGGACGGGGTGCGCACAGACCCTCACAGCTGGCACCAAGCCCCAGAGCACAGCCCTTGTTTAATTAAAAGGCAGCACTGACCATGTTTCCCACCCGAAGGATGCTCCAGCAGCGCTGCTGCCCCAGGCCTCCTTCATCTTCCTTCCCACAAGCAGGAATATCTCGGCATCTCCCCCAAACCCAACCCAAATGGGCTTTTGCAGGGATGAAGTGGGGGTTAGCTTGCACAAAGCACCCTGGGGGTGGCCGCTAAGTCACTCTCCGAAAAGCCAGCAAGGCAAAAGCACCGTCCCAGTCTGTGTTCATCCAAAATCCGGCAGCTGGAGGCTGCTCTCCTGCCTGGCGGTTGTTTCCTCCCAGCAAAATGCAGGGGAAAGCAGGGCTTTTTACTGCAAGAAAAAGGGAGCCACTCCAGGGACCGGTGGGAAGAGCTGATGGGTTTTGGCACAGTACTCAGGCTGAAAAGCTAGCTCCAGCTCCAGACCTTGTTTTGCAGTGACCTGTATCAAGAATTGTCTTTTTCCTTTTTCTTGCCAAATGGAAAGAAAAAGAAATCCTTCCAGGTCAGAAGAAAGAAAAGCATTTACTCATGGGTCAAGTGAAACAATCTGATGCAGGGTTGAGTGCACTTTTATTCTCCCCAAACCAGGAAAAGATTCAATTTCCATCTGAAAAAACATCTAAAAATAAAAAGAGAAAGGTTTTTGGGGTCAGAAGCACTTGATTTTGGTTTTTAAGCCCAAATGACTTGCTGAATTGAACCCCACTTTGCAAAGCACGGGTCAACCCAAAAGCGCAGAGGGGTGGGGAAGGGATGGGCTGGTGCATCGATCTGGAAAATTTCAACCACACTGAGATAGCACCAACCACAGGGGCAGCAGCCACCGCAGGGGCCAGCCTGGGACCCCCCCCCGGCACGCAGCTTGGGTACCTCAGCTCCCGCCAGGCCCGGCTGTGCACCAGGGTGCCAGGAGGGACGCGTTCGGCCGCCTCCACAGCACTTTGTTCATCCGAAGCGAGCTGTCACTTTCCAGCCTCCTCCCCACCAGCCAAATGCTTCCTGACAGCCCGTTTAAAACTCAAAGCACCCGATTACCACCACAGCCAGGCAGCTGCTCACAGACACCACGAGAAACTCTTCCATAACTCCCCCCCCTGAAATGAAATCCCTGCCCAGAGCATCACTGCTCTCCCTTTCCAGGCATACCCACACCCAGGGGGCACAAGGGTCCTTCTTGAGCTGATCCAGGTCTGGCTCTGCTCTCACATGCATGGCCTCGGTTGAGGGGCCCCCACGTTTCCATCACCGAAATGCCAGCACCCGCTTCCCACCACCCCAGCGGTGGGTGGGAAGCCCCAGCTCCCTCCACCTGGCAGGGCTGACCCCAGACCCTACACGTCACCTGAGTCCATTAGCAAGTCCCCGGAGCGCATGCCTCGCTGGCATTTAGCTTAACCCCGGCTTTTAGGGAGAGCTGCAGAGCTGCGCCGCCTTTCAATTTTTAATTCGCTCTAAACATTTTGGTCCTCTCCTCCGGGGACTCCCAGTCGATAACCTCTGCTGGCAGCACTGCTGCCCCATAGCTACGGGGAGGGTGGAAACTGGGGGCAAAGGAGAGGAAAGCAGCTCCACCCCACGCTGCTCTCCTTTGGAAGTGCAGGACCCCTTTGCACACACACCCCAGGACAAGGGCACCCCCGCCGGGCGCTGCAGTGAAAGGGCCCCCAGTGCCCCATGAGGATGCTCCTCCAGGAGGATGGGGGGACCCCCAGCACCTCCAGAGACCTGACACGGGCAGAGAGGGTTGTCACAGGGTAGAACATCTTCCTCCTTTTCATCAGACACCTCCGTGGGGTCGGGTCCCTCCAAACTTCACAGCTTGCTCGGGTTTTCCCTGATGCCTGGCACCGGCGCGGCAATGCCCTGGAGCAGGGGCACGAACGCAGCATCACTTTCCAGTCCCCGAGGCGTCTTTCTCGTTTTCCACTGCCTTAAGCAACAAATGTACTAACAGGGACCTGCTGGGCATGAGAAACGTGACCTGAGCTGCTCTGGAAAGGGAAATGCCACCGTAAAGCTGGGAAGATCAGCCCAGGTCACCCTGGAGCAGGGGAGCGGCTCCGGGTGGGTTTTTCTGTCCCTCAGGTGCTGGGGGGGGTCCAGGCTCAGGGTTAAGGCTCAGTTCTTCACGCACCTTTTATCTTGATCGAAAGGGCATGGAAAACTAATCAAGCACTTGCAGACAACATATGAATGGCAAAAACTCATAGGAAAAAAAATATCCTGAGCAGTTAAGCATCAGAAAAGGTACACGGAATCGCAGCAAAACCCTGTATCCCGCCTCCAACAGGTACCCAGGGACAACATGCAAAAAGGGTGATGCGCAGCAGTAATAGCCCAGAACGTGCTCCCTCTCTTCAAAAATTGGCAATTAGAGAGCTCCCAAGTCACAGGGGGTGCCTTGATACTGCTTAACGCTGACGGTTCCCTCCCACGAATTTGCCTGCTCCCTTTCCGCACACATGTAAGCTCCCAATGTCCACACACCCCCCTTCCAGACCCCTATAGCATCTCCTCATCCCCAATTTCCTGGGACAGCCCATGCCGAGCCACCCCCAAAAGCCCCCTGTTACACCTCCAGGCAGCTACGGGACCCGCCGTGCCCCAGGCAGGGAGCGGGGACAGAGGCAGCCCTGGCCAGGCACCAGGGTGCTGCCCACCCAGCAGGGTCTTCTTCAGCTCCTCACCTCCTTCTCCCTCCTAGACCCCGAGAGAAGAGGAGTTTTAGGCTGAAGAGAGCCGAGCTGCCGAGAGCTGGCCTCGGCCGCCACCTAGCAGCGACCCAACAGCGGCGGGGACAAGGGAGACAACTCCTCCAGCCCACTGGCTCCCGCTGCAGCCCGGGGACAGGCAGAGGAGGATGTGGGGGTGGGGTCTCTTCGGGACACCCCACCCCAGCCCCAGTTCTGACCTCCCTGAAACCAAAGGGGACTTCTGCAGCAGAGAGGGTGGTGTTGGAGACAAGCACTCCATCACCCAGACAGCTCCGAGCAACCTCAGCTCCGTTTCAGTCGCTCCCTACACTAGATGACAAACACGTGCGATGCAACTCCCCGGCCTGAAGCCTGAACACAGGACCAGAAAAGTCAGGCAACCTCTGAAACCCCTCCCGGAGGGTTGTACAGCCCCTGCTCAAGCCACGGCCCCTCGCCTCTCTGCTTCCATCTCCTTCATTAGCTTTCCACACAGCCATTTCCAAATGAGCCCCAGATTTTCTTTCTCTCTCTACATTTTTATTACCCCTTTCACATCCAAAACCACCCCTAAATGCTGAAATCAAAACAAAATAGTCATAGAATCATAGAACAGTTTGGGTTGGAAGAGAGCTTTAAAGATCATCTAGTCCAATCAATAAACTTATGCTGGGATTTTAATCCGTTCCAATATTAATGTTAAATCCCATCTCGAGCTCTTCTTGGTGGTTTGCAGTGAAGCATACCTCTGGCATGTTTGCAGGTGGGCACAGAATGACCCTTGAAGCCCCTGAAGACCTGAGGAACAGTCTAGGCACCAGCAAACCGGCTGAATGCCAGCATTCATAACCAGGGTGCTTCTACTTTCACAGCTTTTCTCTGCATTAATGAACTCAAGCCCAAGAGGATTTCTTGCCACAGGCGGGGAGCTACATAAACGTGGCCATCATCAAGCTTCAAGCTTTCTCTCACTGGATTCTTTATAGATCTCATTCGATATCTGTAACATGGGATTCCTGATGCTTCGTATGTGTGGCATCCTAATTCATCAAACTTAAAGGATATATAACACAATGTGACACTTAGATATTCTCCCAAACCATTACATTAAAGAGCAATAAATCAGTACAACACCAGTACAACAAAACGAAACTATTTTCCTGAAAGTAAAAGTAACATTATCACATGTACTGGGCACATCTGAGATGTTGTCAGACTCCCCAGTTTTTCAAGGGATTAAACGTTTCTGAACAAAGAAAATGGCAGCACGGTCATGCAGAGGCCTTTGCTGCTCTAGGCAGCCTTCCTCGCAGCTGCTCCAGCTTCTCCCCTCTTCTCACACCTTCCTTCTCAGGCTGGGGAGCCACTGGAAGTAGTCATTGGAAGTGGCTAAGCGTGCAGCTGCCACCACTGCAGATAGCGTGGTAGGAGGGACATAGAGTTTCTGAGATGGCCCTTGGTCAGACAGCCCACTGGCACTGCCCAGGCCAACTGCAAGACTCCTGGGAAGATCTTTGTTCTTCATTTTCTCTTCATCTGCATAAGGAGGGACACAGAAAAGAAAGATGGGATCCACATTGGCAACCCTAACAGCTCCGGTTTAGGTTGAAATCCCTTTTGCCTGGACCTTACCAGGTCATGGCAAGAGGACTTTCTACTGCACACCTATTTGATGAGCCCAATACAGTATAATCCGAGAGCCTCTCTCCCTCTCCTCCCAGTGCTCACCCCTCTTTCCCCAGAGGTGGGAAATCAGATGTGAATTGAGTAGCTCCTATCTGGAGAACTGGGCCTCCACTGCAGACAGATGGCAGACAGCTCTGTTCCAAGGCACAAACAGGCACTGTCTTTGGCAAGTCAATCTACCTCGTAAATTGGGCAACTCTCACATGGGTGTTGTAAATTCTTTCATCATTTGGAAGATAAAAACCCATACACGGTTAAAAAAAATTGTCCCTTACGGTTGGGAGATGGAGAGACTCTCAGTATGAAATGAACACAGGCTAACGTACAGAGGGCAGAGACAAAGACTTCTGCATGAAAGCAGCAGAAAGTCTAGGAAAGACAACAAAAATCAAGAGAGAGAGAAATAACCCTCAATTCATTTGTTCCCATTAAACATTTAGAAAACCATTTTGCTGCACAAAGGTCAAACCGATGCATTGCATCCAGCCATTTATTATTGTCGCATCTCCATCCCACAGAAATACCATCATTTTCATCTGTTCTAGCAAAGAAGCAGCACCAGTCCTAGGACACCCAATACTGACTGCAAGACTCATAGCACAGTAACAGACTGCTCAGCTTTCTGCTGTGTTAAATTTTACTGACAAATCTATTCGTACTGTTACGGTTGTCCAGCATAAACGGTATTGCCATAAGTAGAACAGAGGGATGTACAGCTTCACAAAGTTGGACCTCGTTGGAAAATCTTTCTATCTGATCAGGGTCATCTTGGCTCATTTCTGCTGGTTGCTTGGAGTAGATAAAGGAGGTGTAAAACTCTTCCACTGACTTGAATAAGACAGCAGGCATTGAGGACTCTTCAAGAGAATGAGGTGTCTGCAAATGTATATAAAAAACTCAGGAGAGGGTGTGATTAGTGCACACTCGTTTCATTAGCTGCCCTGATCTTTATTATCTCTCAAAGTCCACAAAGAACTGGGATGTCAGCAACTGGATGATTAAGGGAAAAAAAAACAAAAACAAACAACAACTAGTTACTCACAACCTTGGCCAAAGGGCAGCTTTTCCTGCACCGCAAGCTGAAAAGAGTGACAGATTATTACAGGATACAAATCACGATGTCTTAGCAAAGAATTAACAGCTGGCTCATCTCTCAGCAGCCCCACGCAGAAACAAATGACAGCAATGATAGAGGGAGTTTCTGCAAGGGAGTGGGTATCGAGTCAGAGGAAGTCCCTCTGCATTTTTGCTGAAGAATACAAATTAAACTTAAGTTCCAGAGATGATCACCCATGTCTCAGCCATAGACAGGGACTAGAGCCAATGTTTGTATTTGTTAATTCAGCACAGAGGAGAAAAATAGCAAAACGACAGATAAGCAGCAATTCACCTCGCCCAACCACAGCTGTTCAAAAATTAGGTGCTTGCTCTCTACGCTTCTTCTGTTGTCAAGACAGCAGAAGAAAGGCATCCATCTTGAGAAGGGGTGAATCGCCATCCAGAGGTGCTTCACCCATTGGTGAGAGTGTGTTCAGAGGATTAGCCCAGAACAAAACAATTGTATTTACACAAGCAGACTTAAGCAATTTAAATTGGCCCCCACAAGGGGACCATGAGGCGCTCCTGAAACAGCAAGGAGAGCTACATGGCTGGGCAGCAGAAATTCTGTGCTGACAGGATGCCAGGACAGAATAATTTGAATGACAGGCATCACTGGAGTCCAATTAACCAGCTACTCAGCTTGATACCACCAGCCCACTGAAAACCTCTGCCTAACATGCAGTAAAAACCAGAGTGTTAGGACAACAAAAAGAACAGGGTTAAAAGATTATTATTATCTCCTCTTGCCACCCATGCTACCCTGTTGGGGGACAGGCAGTGTCACTGCCACTCCAGGGCAAAGCACAAACAGACAGGGTGCAAGGGTGGACACTAGAAATTCTGTTAGCACTAGAAAAAGCTGGGATGGAAATAATTCAAGAAGAGGATGTTCAGTTTGCATAAGAGGCAAACGAGACAGGATATCCTAGAGAGTGCTGTGACGGGCAGGGAGTAAGGCAGTATCTACTCTTCCTCCTGATTCACACAATTAAGAACACCACCATTGAAAAGGAAAACATGAGCAGGGAAAACTGGAAAGGAGGGAATACCACTTGGTGATGCTGTAAGTGCCACAAAACCCTGAGGCTGAGAGATGAGCAGGAATCAGAGAAAGGAAATCTTCCTGTCTGTCCTCATAACTAGCTGACTGATGCATTTTTTCCCCCCTAATGTCTATAGGCAGGATTATTTTTTCATCCCACAGTCTCCCTTAATAGAAATTCTTGTCACTTCTTCTAAAGACTGCAACAGAGATCACAGCCAGGGACAGAAAATGTGCCCAGGACTTCTCCGATCCAGTTAGGAAATTTCTATGCTTTGAAACTCACATAGTTTAACACTTGCAGGGGAGCATTTAGGTCAGCTCACAAGGACCCTATCGCTATCTACCCACCTGCCTCCACCTCACCTCATCATACTTTCTCCCCACACTTGCTACCAGAAACTTTCCTCTTCTCTCATTCCCTCAAGATCCTTTTTCCCAGCTTGCTTTCTCTCCATCTCTTTCAGGTAACATCCCCCAGAGCCACCAATTCTTCCAGCTTTCCCCCTCATCCTTCTAGAAAGTGCTTTGTCTCAGCCACTGTCAACCTCCAGATGTGTAAGCAGCTGTGGTTATCCAAAACCCTGTAGGCACACTCCTATTTCCAGCTCTGCAATGCATTCTGTGGCTCAACAAATCCCGAGTGATACCAGCTCCCTGCTGAAACCAGAGCAGAGCATTTGCAAAATGCCATGCTGCAGGCCCTGTTAGATTCATCATTAACCACTATTTAAGAAGCAAACTCGCAACACCAGTGCCACATAATGCCTCAAATCACAGCCCAAAACACAACCCTCCCAAACCCACCCTCCTAACTCAGGAAAAGGCCTGCGTGATCCAGAGTAGCCCCACAATAACTCCCAGTTACTTCCAGTAACCCTCGGGACTGTGAATGGAGGAGAAGTAGAGGAGTGAAGAAGGGCCAGGTTTGATCTATAAAGTGCTGAAACAGGTCAGTCTTGTTTCCACAATACCTTGACATGCTAATGGAGCACGAGTGTATCATCAATAACACCAGAAACAACAGCAAAGAAGAAAACATACAGTTCTGAGCCCATGCTCAGTCGTTATTTCTTTGTCAGTCACTTTAAAAAAAATACATGTCAAAGCAATCAAAGGGTTAATTGAAATAATCTAAAACCAAGAACAACCCTTCTCAACAGCAACAGCTGAGAAAAACACCCTTACCTTAACCACTGCCATAAGCTCTGTAAGAGTTTCATTTGTATCCTCCTGTGCAAGTTCAGGGTCTTGGTCTGTTGTTCTTGGGACACTCACTTCATCCAAAAGTGGCCGCACATCATCCTGTGTCTCCTTCTTAGCAGACAGGTGCCATTGCTAAGGAGATGGACAAAGCAAGAAAAGGTACAGCTAGTGTGGGTAGAAGAAAGCAGGATGCACTGGAGCAAATTACAGAACAATCCAATGATACCACTCAGAGATTAACCGAGAACTGCAAAGGAGCTTTTTGGTTCCGCTCAGAAGTTTTAACATTTCTGTCTGGAGAAGTTTGGGCTACTTGGAAAGAACAGAAAGAACATGGAAGGACAGGAAATAACGTGAACAAGAAACTAACTGTCACTTTAACTTCTCTCCAAGTGGTAAGTTTTACTGGGGAGGAAAGTACAGTTTTATTCAAGCAATGTTTTCTGGTTATTCCCTGCTGCCTTCTGAGAAATTTCACCATGGAGATGTGTCCTAACGCAGCCGAGCTGATACAATACAGTGTCCAGCCATTTTGCACTTAAGGGCGGGGTTGGAGTGTTGTTAATCCTGACGAGGCAAATCTAAGATTGGACAGTGCAAAGGGAGTTCCTCACTGTTTAAGAGGAGTTACCAGAAAATGCTAGCTGAGCAGTAACAAGTGTCATATTAGACACATTTCATTCCGGTTCAAAACATTTGGTGTAATTTTATAATTGACATTCATGATCATGTTAGCGATGCACCAAGGAAGAGAGGAATTGTTTTGGACAACTAAACAGAACAGCAGAGAAGAAAATGTTTAAAGTCTTACACAAACAGCTCTAGAGGACTGCAGTTTCTGAAAGAGGATTCTAAGACCCTTGAAGTCAGACAGGAGAAAACCTGAATGCATTTACATTCCTCTAGTCTCCAAATTGCCAGCTATGCCTGACATTTACACACATGGATCTTGCTACAGTTAACCAAATTTTTCCATAAAAATCACAATAAACTCAGATTTGCAGAGTCTCAGTCACACTGATTTCTTCTAAATACATAAAGATGCTGGTTTGGGACCTTCGGTTCAGACGATATATCGACAGTGCAAGGCCATTAATATCCAAGATACACAGCTTATATAGAATTTCTCTAGCACAGAAACGCAGTTGGCTAAAACAAAACCTAGGTAAAATGACTGCTTTACAAGTTACTAATATTACACTAGCTTTTACTCTTATTTCAGAGAAATGTCAGAAAAACAGCCCCCGAGCAGTGCTGAACACTTCAACAGCTGACATTTACTTGAAAGGTGCTTTGGCCTCTGTAATAAAACGTAGCATGAAAATACTACAATTTAAATAACACAGAAAAGTAGAGAGAGTCACTTGTAGACAAGTGTTCCCGGTGTTTCTAACGGTACTACATTAGATTGCACTCAAGACCTGGGTTTTACTCCCTGCTTAACCCCTCTGTTCATCAGTTTCTCCACCTGTTAAATAGCAAAGGGCTCCTCTTTTTAACATGCTCTGAAATCAAAGGTGTAAAGCAGTATCCAGATCTGGATATCATTCACCTTTAGAGTTATCTTTTTAATAAAACTGTAGTTGTGTACAACCTTACGCCCTGCAACAACCAGGACTGCAAACTGCTTACTTTCAGGTAAGTTTAGAACGAGCAAGACCCTTAATGCAAATAATACACCACTAGTTCTTCTGGTCTTTCCCCACATTTAAATGATACCCTGAGTTACTACATATTCTTTCCCAAACCCCAGAGATGCGAGAAGAAAACACACCACTTCTTGGCTCCCGGGGGTGCAAAACATGAAAGTGCTAAGTCAAACTGATCTCATAAATCTGGTACTGGTCCGAGTTCTCAACAGAGTCAATTCTCTTTCTAACTGAAAAATTACGGTGCATATGGGAGGTTAGAGAAATCACTGAGCACACAGACTCCCTGAAGTCTGCAAAGGGATCCGAGGACAAGCAGCTAGAGATGTATTTACGGTTCACGTGTAATTGTTTTTATATTATGGTTCTGCTTGTTTTCTATGAAAGCAAAAAAAACAACTCCACAAAAAACTGCATGGGACTAAAACAATACATGTCTACTGATCCCTGGTGCTGATTTCATTGAATGATAGCTACGCCACAGTCAAACTCCCACCTGGTCACACAGTTCATCCCCATCCAGCTTTGAGCTTGCTGTTTCACTATCTGCTAGAGATTCCTGCTGCAAGCGAAGGTCTGGCTCCACCAGTTCAGCATTCTCCTGCTTTCCACTAGGCTGAACATACAAGGCCGAAGGATTCAGTTCCTTGAATCCCTAGGAACAAACAAAAAAAACCAAAAAACAACCAGTATAGTCAAGAAAACTATGTTGTAACTACCACAATGAATAAAAAGGATTCAGCAAATTTCTAATAGATTTTATGACGAAGCACACCACCTGCAAGTTAGCTCCAATTTCTTGCAGAAATTGTCTTACTACGAAAATCAGCTCCCCTCCCTCCAGCAACAAAATTAGTCAGCAATGCCCCCCTCCCCCCAAAACTGGACATACACGTGCAAAAATACAATCATAGGATCTAATCCTGCCAAAACACGCATTCTGCATCTATTGTATAAAATAACAGATACAAGCACTCTGGGCTGTAAACCCTGACCTTCTGCTGAGATATAAAATCGTGGCACTACCTTTCTAAGGGTTTTCATATCCACACAGTTCTTACCGAAACTGAGCTGAGACATTCAGTTAATGACATAGATGGGCCTACATCATAAATGCTCTCTGCACTGGCTTATAATTTGAACGTCCGTTCAAGGCACAACGTGCAATCTACCATGGTTATGCTGTCCAACATTGTACATTTCAACGGCAAAGTAAGAGACTTTTTAAATGAAGACCATTTCCATAATTCAGTTTGTTAATGGCATAACCGATCTTCAATGCCTTGAGCAGAGAAGGCCAAAATAATTTATTTAACTACCCTGTTCCTCACTCAACTGCTCCTGCCACTATGTAGCGCTACTTTAAATCAGACAATAAAATCTAATCAACCTGCTCTCATTAATTGTTTGGATGAATCAGGGGCCTCAACTTATGACTAACAAAACTTGCAGGAATTAACAACGGGTAGTGAAGTAACTAACATATCTCTTAACAACCTCTCAATTCCATCTCAGTTTGGCCTTCTGCTCAGCACGTTTATAGCTATTTTACTTTTCCATGTTATCTATACAAGATGTGTGTCAGCTCCAGATGAATCTGCAATACTAACAAGCTAATCAACTTAAAAAAAACCATCAAAACCTTCTAATCCACTGTTAGAAGACAGGATGAAAACAATTTGTTCTACTAAACCAGAACATCTCTGGCGTATCATCAGATTCCACCTTAATAAAAAAGCAAGCTCTCACCATAGAGTTCAACACCGTTGGATGCAGTCACAAAAGGGTAAGTTACAGGAAAGCAGGGAATACCAGTTTTGCTCTTCACAAAACTACTTTGCTTCAAGCTAAAGACCTTGCCATTACAGGCACCCAACTGATCCTTTCCCTGCCCTTCCCTTCAGCAGAACACGCCTTCCTCCTGACCTGGGAAGGAATGTTCTCTCCACAGACGTCAGCACATCCCCCATCCCTCAAGACACAGTGGAAGTAGATGTCCTCCTCAGTGGATGTGTCACACAGGAAGAGATGCAAGATGCCATTCACATATTCATCCACGATGCCTACAAGTAGCTTGGAGCCACACAGCTTCTTGAATAGGAGAGTTGCTGCATTGGACCACGTACCCTGAAGAAGAAACAAGAATGTGAAGTTACTATAAACAGACCAACATCCACCGCCTGAGACTCTCCCTTGTGCACACTTGTTAAAAAGGCAATTAAGCTGGGTCAGGCTAGGGACAAACGCAGGAAAGTCAGGCAGACAAGCTTCCCAGCACTGAACTAAATCAAACTACCCTAAAGACTGCAATGCTAGTTACACTGGGAATGCCCTTTCACCCCAAATACCTATTTCCAAACACGGTTCGATGGCATTCACCAGTGATTTTACCACAATTGCCTAATATACAGTTGTTTATTTTTGTTTTTGTTTTTTTAAATTCCTGGAATCATGCGATTATAAATGTTAAAAGCGTCTAAAGTTTTTAAGAAGCTGCTAAGCCTCACCACAATGAAAACTGTGATTCTTTAACGCTCAAAAAACAGAGGAAATAACTTTTTAAAAATAATATCTTTGAAACACAGAAGAAGAAACCCTGCTCACATGCTTTCCTTCAGAGATTGTATTTCTCAGGCTTCTTGACCAAGAGGTGTCCCAGCACAGAGGAACTTTCTTATGACCTCTGTAATTCTTTGGCTACGCTGACTGCGTCAAACCAACTCACTTTAAGCTCCATCACAGAAGAAGTTTTTAAAAAGAAGGCTGGAGCTACCAAGGCTTCAGAAGGACCCTGGAGAACTACTGAAAGGGGAAGAAACAAGTTTGCTCTTTTGCTTAACAGTAGCTATCTGTTTCTGTAACAATATAAGCAAGAATACTCTGATCATAAGGAAAACAGACAGCAGAAGTGTGATCACTCGCAGAGACAGAGACTTACACAGTCATACTCTGCTGAATGTAACAGCAGCAGTACTGCTGTAAACGTCAGTGGGACCTGAATTAATCCAAATGTTTGCCCTTATCAGGAGAAAAAGCCAACCTCTACTTGATAGCTCTCATACATATGTCAATAAACAAAATTGCATGTGAACACATACCTCCAAGGGTTTTACCCATGCCAAGGAACATGGGATGGCCTGAGCAGGGAGCTTCAAGTAGCACCACCTACAACACAAAACAAAGCCATTACAGCAAAAACAGAGCAAAACCAGGCAGAAGAGTAGAACTTCCTCATCTTCTGGGTTTTAAAATCAGCTTAGGAATAGAGAGGCACATATTGGATATTGCACTTATGAATAAAACCCAACAGCAGCTTTGGAAAACACTCCATATCCTGAGAATGGGCACAGCAGAAATAGCAATAACAACTGGTCCCTTATGCCTTCCCTTGCCCAAGCATCTTCCCATCATAACCGCTTATGATTACAAAGTTACGGACAGAGAGCAATGACTTTTGAACCAAAGAATGCCAATGGCCAGGCATGAACAGAGGCAAATGAGAGGGCAGAAGCAAATATGGAAAAGGTACTGAATTGCAGAGGAGAACAAGTACCTCTGACACTGCAAATGTGTCCCACTTGGATTGATACCCGTTCAGGAGGATGTTTACATCCATTCACGGAACCCAGGAAGGAGGATTAGGGAGCTTGCCCCAAAGTGACAGAAAGTGGCAGGAAGAAAGACTGAGGAATGAAGGCAGGAACAGGAAATGATTTAGCCTGAAGTCACTGTGAGAGGGTGAAGGACACGGTTGATGAGCAAAGGGCCCTGAGTGATCAGCAAAACAGGTCTTAAACAATGTCACCTCAAGCATTAGCATGTAAGCAAGGAAGTGTCTGCAATAATAAAAAACCCAGATCCTTTCTAGGAAATCTGCATGCTGGGATGTCTTTCTGAACAAAGACAGGCCAGTCAGCCTCACCTCGGTCCCTGGGAAGGCAATGGAACAACTAACCCTGGGAACCATTTCCAGGCACGGGAAGGACAAGAAGGTGACTGGAAGTAGTCAGCACGGATTCACCAAGTCACGCTTGACCAACCTGACAACCTTCTAGGATTAAACGACTGGCCTCGTAGGTAGGGGGAGAGTAGTGGGTATTGTTTACCTTGACTTCTGTCAGGCTTTTGACACTGTGTCCTGTAAGATCCTCATAGAGAAGCTAATGAAGTACGGCCTGGATGAGCAGTGAGGTAGATTGAGAACTGGCTGAAGGGCCAGGCCCAGAGTATGGTGACCAGTGGTACAAAGTCTAGTTGGAGGCCAGGAACTAGCAGTGTACCCCAGGGGTCAATACTGGGTCCAATACTGTTCAACACCTTCATTAATGATCCAGACGATGAGGGAGAGTCTACCCTCAGCAAGTCTGCTGATGATACAAAACTGCGAGAAGTGGCTGATACACAAGAGGGTCATGCTGCCATTAAGAGGGACCTCGACAGGATAAAGAAATGGGCAGACAGGAACCTCATGAAGTTCAACAAAGTCCTGCATTTGGGGAGGAACACCACCATGCACCAGTACATGTTGGGGGCTGATCGGCTGGAAAGCAGCATTTTTACCATGAGGGTGACCAAGCACTGGAACGGGTTGCCCAGAGAGGTCATAGAGTCTCCATCCTTGGAGACATTCAAAAGCCGTCTGGACATGGTCCTGGGCAGCCTGCTCTAGATGGCCCAGGAAGGTTGGACACGATGACCTCCAGAGGTCTTTTCCAACCCCAACCATTCTGTGATTCCGTCCCCATGTGTAATTTACTTACTTGAGGAATCTCAGCCAAGACTTTCGGACAATTTCAAGGTTTCCATAATCTGGGTAGAACACCTCTACTTCTTGGTCATTGATCACACGGTGGATGATAACACGGTACCACCATTTCGAGACCGTTACACAGCAAAGCTGTCCAGGCTGTACTGAAGACTCAGGCATGATATAACGATCAGAAACAAGTTTATTTGAGTAACAGTGTCTGCAAAAGATCATAATGAAAAACTGTGCTTGATAGGATGCAGGAGATGAACAAAGAGAAATACACTGGGCTTCAGAAGAATCCTGATTTCTCAAAGTCCCCATGACATGAATTTTCAGGAGTTGTTTTAATAGATGCGTTACATCTCTGTTCTGCTACACGTAAACTGAAATGACAATAAAAAATGCAAACCCAAACCTTAAACATTTGAATGATATTCCTGGGGTCCAACAAAAAGTTAATTAATGGGGACTAATCAGAGGCTAAATACAGTCAGTCTAGTTATTAATTTTTAACATTACCTTTACATGTCAGTGCTTCTTATGAACCAGGTTCTGGAGTACTGGCTCACATACACAGTAGCTGTCTGCAGAGTCTGTAATCACACTTACATGTGCCCCACAGACACCAAGCATTTACCTTGGCACACAATTAACAGCGGCTGTATCACTGTCGTGGTGGAATAGAATCCCAAATGTGTAATGTAACTGACACAAACCAAGCCACTGATGGGGTTTTGCTTTCAAATATAGATATGACAAAGGCCTGTTACCTGTTGCTTTTTGGTTAAGTGTTGGAGATGGAAGTAAAAGCCTTAACCAAGCACATTAGCAACAGTAGCACAGACAATAGAGAGGTGCAAAACAGCCCTAAAGTTTCTTTCCATAACGTTTCCAGGCTTTAAAGTTTAGGACTGTCTAGGACACAGCCAAAAAAATGTGAATTGCTATTAAACATACTTTTTGCTTGCTAGTTAAAAGGAATGGGTAAGCATTATGAGTATGTGTTTCAGTACAGCACCAGCATCTCCGTATCAAGTAATCAAGCCAGTGACCATAACTAACAGCAGAGTGCCCTGTTCCCTCAGCACAAACACACACGCACGATGGGTAGTAGTACTGAATCAGCATAGCATGTTCGCACCTCATCTCAATCATCATATCCTGCAGTTTATCAGATGTTTCCCTGCTGCAGATGTGGATGTAGAACTGGCTAGGAGAGACGATGAATTCCACAAAGACTCCCACCAAGCACCTTCTCTCCAGTGGTGGTAAACTGCAAAGGCTTCTGTCCTGAACAGCATCTGGGGGGATTTCTGGAGTCATTATCAACTTGTCTAGTAGGGACTGCTCCAAATCTTGAGGCTACAGAGGGATAAGAAGAAGGTGGCACTCAGATGTCTCGTCATGTGCTGAACACACATGGCCTCTCCGTTAAGTTAAAAAAATAGTTCTGCTTTCCTGGGGACCTGTGAATTACTGAATATCAGAGAATCCCAATAAATTGCGCAAACTTGGATTAAAACTTTCCCTGTGATAGAAGCATTCATTTTCACACACTCTCTCTTCCTTCCTTCTTTCTTCCCTCCAGTGTAAAGAAGAGTGCAACAAAAATACCTTGTTCATATTCCTTCAAGGAATAAAGGAGAGGAATTGAAGTCATGTCACACATTTAGACAAAAGTATTGAATGGCTATTGCTAAAAAGGCAGAACAAAACAAAAACCCACACCAAAAAACCAAACCAAACACAACCCACCTGTTTGTTGGATTTTACCCAAAAGATGCTATTTCTATGATCTGTGACCATGAAAGAGTACATGACTGAACCAGCAAAACTCTATCTGAAAATGATTCAAAAGTGACAGAAGGCACAAATGTATCTCACTTTCACACTAGAGCTATTTCCCAAGGATAAAAACAAACAAAACTACAAACTCTGTTCTTCTCCTCACTCTACACAAATTTGTACATGAGTGAGTTGGCAGCACAGCTTACAATTTTGCGTTATTCTTTAACTGCTGAAAACATCATTTCACTTGAACTAGTGCAGATGGGAACCTTAATCAGACATCAGCTACTTTCACTGCCTCAAGAGCTTGCTTTTGTGCCAACAAACAGCACTCCTCCAATGATCAGAAGTCAAAATGATTTCAGTTTTACTCATCGTGAATATGCTACAAGTTACCACTGCATTATACATCAGACAATGTATGGGAAATTTGTCTTCCAGCAATTTGTCCCCTTTCTTATCTGGCTAAATTCAACTGCAAACAATGGGTTTTTGCAATACAGGCTCTTTTAACCATTTTTTAAAGAAGCAGATGAGAGTCTCCTTCTGCAGACTGAGCAAGGGCTAACGCCCTTGAATTTTTTTTGAGTTAAAAACTTGGACTAAAACATTGAGTTAAACAGTGAGTTAACATTTTTGAGTTGAAGAGCAACTGAGGGAGTTCTTGCCTGAGCAGCAGCATCACCTCTAAAAAACCCTCACATTTCATGGATTTCCTCTAAGAAGTGCCTGCGAATAGTGGCATTTCTAAGGGATGGTTTTGCTCCCAGAATGCTCTTCATATCATACTGTTAAGGGCACACATAATCTTTATAATCTAGCTCACACACTGGTAGCAACAACAGACATTTCTGTGAAAGACGTAGAAGACGTACTTAAAAACACATTTACAAAAAAGCAACAAAATTATAAATAGACAAACCAACAGAATACTCTGTAAAACTAGGCTTAAGAGACATATGGCTTGTGAGACTAGCTAACTCCTTGCCCCACGCTGGACTAGCAGCTGCCAGTGTGATGTGGAGAACACCTTTCCTTCTGCTCAGGGGAGCAAGAAAAGCTGCTGAGAGCAGCAGCTCTACATACTTACCCTTTTCAGGGCCGAGAGGATTGACTCAGCCCTTGTCCCTCATTTGTCCCTTACACCACTTCCATTATTAGTCTCTTGTGACCAGATTCTTGGATACCTTGCAGCAGGATGCAGATCAGGTCGCAATTTTCCCCCCTACCTCACAGCATCCCGATGAACAAGTGTTCGTTGCATATGCAAAGTAACACGTTCCAACCTGCTTTCCTCCCCTTTAGGGATTTTCTTAAACAAAATGGCAAACTTGGTGTTTCATCAGGAATACTAGTTGTACAAACATCTTCCAAGACTTATCCTGCTAGGATCTTTAAACAGGTTCCCTTTGCCATACATAAGAACAAAAATCTGACTCGAGTTTGGGGTTACCAGGACCACATACCCCTCTTTTTTACCCTTCCCACAAGCAGACTTTGTTTGATCTAGGGGAACTCCCTGTGAACTTCATCACACCAAACTAAAACTTCTTTAAAAGATCAGAACACCCTGCCAAAAAATCTCTAAATGGTATGTTTTATGAAGTGCTGCACAAAGTCCAACTCGCAGTCCCAGGCTCCCAAGTTCATTAGTGCACAAAATACCAAATTCAGGAAGAATTCCTGGGACCCTTTCCCTGCCTATCCGCTCCAAACATACAGATGTGTACAGCCACGAGACAAGCTTGGCAGAGGAAATAACTCTCAGTAGGAGGATTTTCCTGAGAAAAAGAAGGTCTAAAGATGCTCAAAAGAAAAAAACAGAGGGGACACAAACAAATTCTCCCAATCAGGTTTGGCAGTTCAGAGCCTCTGTACTGTTCTTCTCCATCTCTTTCTAAAAATACACTGCTAAATAAAGAAACAAATGAAAAAAATCAAAATTTTCAAAGTCCAACCAAATAGCAGATTTGAGACCGCAGAAATCAAGGTCTCCAAGGACCATTCCCCAGCTCTGCCACACAGCTGCTTGACACTTAAACCCTGCCTACTGCAGCAGGGGAAATTCCACACAGCTAGTCTCAGAACAAAGTTATTAAAGTCCAATTACAAGTGAGTACAGCAAAAGGTATCACCACTATTATCAGGGAGGAAGAGGGTGCTTAACTGACCTCAGATGATCTGTAACATAGATCTCAAGACCGGAAAAAGCCCAGAAAGAGACAAGAAAAAGACCTAGTCTGGATGGCATATAAAGCTATGTACCAGGTCAGTATGAGTCTGGTCATCTTCGGGCTCATCTAGAACAGGTATAAAAATTTTTGGAAGCAGCAGTGCATCAACAATACAAACTCAACAGAAACAAAAGCAGTAAAAAGAGTATCATCCCCTCAGATTACAACATGATAAAGCTACAGATTGCTCAGCCACTTACTTGTTTGAAGTCATCACCCAAATCTACTGCTTGTGTTTCCACTGGCTCTGACTTCTCTTTTGCTGTCAGGTGGAAGCTCTCTGTCTCACAGCTGGGTTCCAAAGGAGGCATCTCAACTGCAGGTGCTGCTGTAAAGACAATAATTTGGCTGTTATTCTTTATGGGGCTGATGCAGTGTTACATATTAAGCAGAAAGAGAAGACATCTGAAAACAAAAGTCTGAAAGCACTGGTGCCGTTTTCCTCATCTCTTGTAACAAGCACAGCCACCACATTCATGAAGATTCACTTGAAAGTTTCACTGTTATTAATAAATTAAAAAAAAAAAAACCAAAAAAACCCCCAAAAACACTTGCTCTTGTAAGCATGCTAAGGGTTAAATCAATTGCTAGAATGATGCTAAAATGAATTTTCCTCAGAAGTCAGGAATTTGGCAGGAACTGTATGTGATTTTCTGCCTTCTCTTATATCTGTTATGGGAAAGCTGACGACATCTGCAGTCTCTTCTGTTTTATTTTGTGGAACATTGTAGCTGTGCCTTTCAGACTAGTGCTAAGCCTTCAGTCTCAAAAAGCGCATCGGAAAGGCTTTACCAGCCTGTGGAGCAGACGTTCAGAAGATCCTTCTAGTTTTGTTATCTATTGCCTGGAATGACTAGAAGTTCCAGTCCTGCACCCACATTCAAAAAGTCCGTACTCTGAACGGGCTAAACATCCCTTCTTTCACCTCACAACAAAAAATGGTGGCAACCTGTAAAAAACTTCCAGCTAAGCTCTCTGCTACCAAGACAACTTCCCTTGTGACAGCTGCTTCTGCAGCACCCCACAGTCCCTCTGTGCTAAAACCTAGGGGAACCGGGACTACTACAGGAACTGGAAATGCAGCAACATCCACTTGAAACACAGTTGCTTGGCCACAGCGCTTGCGAGAGCTACGTGCTTTCAGTTAAATAACACACCGCCTCACCTTGTGGGATCTCTTCCTGCGCCTCACCCTGCAGCATCTCTTCCTTCTCTATCTCACTTGCCAAGTACTTCTTCAGGGTCAGCAAAGAACCTGCTCTTGTCTGCTCAACTGCAACGATATCAGACACGCTTCTGAGGACTTCGAACATGGAGAAAAATCCATACCGCGTGTACTGGAACGCCCGGCCAAAGCGTCTGAAGAAGGCCTTATCAAAGTCCAAGAGCAGAAGCGGTGAGGAACTCAGCAGATCCTGCAGCTCAGCCTTCACCGTCGCTGGCAGGACAGGAGCTCTGCTCCTCCGAGGGAAACTCTGTGGATTCTTAGAGGGAGAAGCAGCATCTGCCTTTGCAGCAGCACTCTTCCGTGCCTTAGCACTTCTCTTCTGTCTGGCAACCAGTTTGGCAATCGCTTTGGTAGTCTCATCTGCAATGGCTGCAACAGAAAGAAATAAACTATTAGACTACCAAAACAGCGAACCATTAAAAGCTCTACACAGGCAAAGCTCCTCTTCTTTCCTTTCTTTCCTCTTCCCCCCACCCTTTTCAGAAGCAGGTGTCTCCTTCAAAAGCAATCACACTAAATCGTGGCTGACTTCCAGCAGGGCAACCACTTTTCTTTTCCCTTCACAAACCGGACTGAACTAGATTTAACAGCCAACAACCAATCTGCACCCTCATTCCTATAAATCCAGATCCAGGTAGGAAGGCAGGTCAAATTCTTGGATACATGATCACAACAGGAAACCCAGCTGCTGCAAGTTTTGTTCAAAAAATGGAAATGGCTCATTGCTCCCCTCAGCCAGAATCACAGTAAACCCCCACTATAGAACACCCACCCGCCCAGGCAAGGTCTCCCCACAGAGCAGCCCAGGTCTCTTCCATGCTTTTAAACAACTTTTTCTTGTCTTACTGTAGCACTCAATTAAAAAAAAAAAAAAATCATTTCACCCTTCCCAATCAACTCTTTGCACCTACCATTTGTTTCCCAGCTCTTCCCCAAAGAAAAGGAAAATGAAAAAGGTTCTTTGATACAAACTAAACTTCCCATGGGGTCAGGCAGGGAAACATTTACAACTTCTCCCAAGAGGCCCCTTCCCTGGTTTTGGCTCCTGCTGTAGTCTGCATTTACAGGAAAAGTGAAGCTTACCAGTTCTAGCGTAGAAGAAATGCTACTGCAGTTTCTAAACAAAGTGCAGAATGCAAAATGTACAAAAATAACTAGAAGCCTGTGTGATTTTTCAGGAGGAAAGAGCGGAAAAAGCATTAAAAGGCAGATCAAAATACAGGAAGAAACATCAAAGGCAAGAAATTAAACAGAGCTATATGAGAAAAAGAATAACAGAGATATGTGACCTACAGCTCTGGGAATTGGTCCTGCACATCCCCGTTTTGGAGCATCACTTCATACTAGTATGTGGTTCAAAACAGTTCCTCCACCTGTAAGGAAACAAAACCTCACCTTTGAGGATAAAAGTGCCTTTCTCATAAGGACAGACTCTGACAACTTCAGGCATATCTGCCACCAGCTCCAAGGTGGATTGGAAGCCCAGGTCACGTAGAGGGAGAGGTTTGCCAATCATAGCCATGTACTCCTGCTCCAGCTGTGCTGGGGTTAAGCCCTCTTTGGCAGCCATTAGCAGTGATCTCACCTCCTTCTTCAGCACCTCCATAAGCTGCGCCTGCTTTGCCATGTCCACACTAAAAGGGAAGCAAAAGCAAGCAGAAAACAACTTGTACCACAGCTGCTCAAACACAGGCAAAAGACTTTTTACCACTTGGCAACTGAAAGCTGGTGGGAGGAGTTTTTTTGAGGGCAGCAAGCCAGATTCACCAACAGCCACTACCTACCAACCCCCATATTTCCCTGCCTGCAGCCCTGGAGCTGCCACCCTCTAGCACCCACTGTCCCAGCTAAGGTCATGGCTCCTCCTCCATTCACTGCCTGTCCCCACGGGATCACGGCCCCTACAAGCATTGCATCTCCCAGAGTTTAGTGCACCCCTAAACCCCTGCCCCAGGGACTGCCCTCTACAAACCCTGCTCCTCACAGAGATCCCTGCGCCCCTAAACT